ATTTTTCACAATTGTCTAAAAATAGGTTGTAAAAAATTTTAGCATACAAATTTGTACGCTATACGGTTTAAGGGATACAATCAAAAGTGAAGCATGGGGATGGCTTTATTATAATTTGGGATTGCTTTTTATCTTGTACATTGGAAGTTCTGTAAAATCAATAGTATGATAAATGATGAGTTGTACTAGCTAATACTTTATAATAACATTCTAGGAACTATAAAATAGTATACAGAATATAATTTTTTAACAAGATGGTACCTCTTGCCATATTGCATCCTTAACTAAATATTGGTTTAGAAGGAATAGAGTAAAAATAATTGATTGACCTTTCTCATCCCCTGATCTCAACTCAATCAAACACCCATGGCTGAAGTTAACTGTCACCTTAGTAAGCTCCCTGGCAATATTTCAAGTGAAAAAGACCTCTGGCAAAAAATCCAGGTAGTGTGGGAGCAAATTGATATTGAAATGTGTACAAACTTGATTCATTCAATGCCAAAACAATTTCATAATGTGATTAGGGCCTGGGGTGGCTACACTAGGTGGTGAAAGGGAAAAAAATTAAATAAAAAAAAAAAATGTTTTTTTAATGTAAAAAAATTTTTTTTTAGTTTACTGTCATGCTGCTATATATATGAGCAAAAATGTTGCAGCATGCGAATTCAAATAAAGCTTGTGCACCTGAAAAATTTAATTCATTAATCTTTTAAAAAAATTTTGTTGGTGAAAGTGATACTATTTGCGAATATATATAAAAAAAGTAAAAGGATACATCCGGAATTGCGCGAGATAATTCGATCTAACGATTTTTTTGCTGCATTATTTATGATCGCCAGCGTATATTATATTACATCACGGCGAATTTATGAAATTAGAGTATTTTGACTAACTATGAAGTGCGTCATTTACTATTTGTTTTTTGACATTTCTTATTGTAAATTCAAATAGATAACGTCTAACCCATCTTTTTACGGAAAGGTGGGCTAGACGTTATCTATGTGAATTTACAATAAGAAATGTCAAAAAACAAATAGTAAATGACGCACTTCATAGTCAAAATACTCTAATTTCATAAATTCGCCACAATGATTAAAAATTATATTAAATACAGCTTCTCTTTAAATGCAACATTAACTTTGGGCTAATTATATGTTTGGCCTCTATAAATGCAATTTTTTCTTTGATCCCAGCGAATTGCATTCAGAGAGTTGACTGTATGTATTTTCAAATAGAAAAAATTGCCATTATTCTATAAGTTTTAATCTGTTTGATCTAAAAATTGAAATTTCGATACTCTGATATTTGTTTTATTATTTTTGTAGAATTTAAGATAAAGTATTTTGTATAAATTGAGACTGCCATTGTGGATATTTTTTGTTATAATATAGAAAAATAATTGATTTAATAAAAGCTGTAAATGATTCTGTAAAAAAAAAAACAAGTACAATTAATTAAACCAAAAAAGTCAGAACAAATAAGGATATACTCTATATCACTGAATATTACTAGTCATTGCTATCCACAGCGAATATTAAAAACTGTTTATTTTTCTTGAAATTTAGTGTTTTCACAAAAAAATCTCTTAAAATTTCAAGTGTCTAATAATTTCATTTTTTTCTCAAAGAAATATATACCACGTATTACTGTATACAAAATTAAAATTAATGGATAGTCATACATTTTAAAATATCAGCATCATATTAATTACTAGGCCTCTCCGTCATCCTTATCCTCCTTTGAAGCCAACGGCATTAGCAAATCAAATTCACCAGAATTTTGACACATTTGGTAAAACAAGGAATTGCTGTCCATAATTAGATTGTATGGACTATGTCAATGACATATAAACGTTAAATATAATATTAATAAACGACGTGAATGCACATTATGATAGAATGCTTTGCTTACCTGTCAAATTCTATTATATTTCCTCGATCTTGAATATATAAAAAAGTTTAGGATCGATTTTTTAAAAAACTCTAATAAATAAGAATTTATTTCATACCAATAACTAGTATCCTATCGTAATCAATAACAGTACGCAGCCGATGTGCAATACATAATACAGTACATTCAGCAAATTCAGTCCTTATCATTTTCTGAATCTTTTCATCCATAGCAAAATCAATGCTAATAAATAAGGGAAGATAAAATACGTAAATGAGCCGATAAATTCAGTTAACAATTTTAACCAAAATTATTTATAATACCTCGCAGTGGCTTCATCCATCAATATAATCTTTGAACTTCTTAATAAAGCTCGAGCCAGACATAATAATTGCCTCTGACCTTGACTAAAATTTTTTCCGCCCTCACTTACAGGTGTATCTAAATTTTTAAATAAATTGTCCCCTGAAATTGAGACATCATCTACATCCTCTACAGAAGGAATTAAATGAACACGTCGCAGAGAGTTCAATATTTCACTATCTTCATACTGAGAAAACGTGTCAAGGTTTGACCGTATTGTACCTAACAACCTTGCATTATTACTTTATCAGCAAAAAAAAAAAACAATTAATAATTAATCTTTGACCAGAATTACCTGTAAATAGTATAGGATCTTGTGGAATTATAGTTATTCTTGACCGAAGATCTTCAACACCGACTGATGAAATATCAAGTTCATCAACTAAAATTCTTCCATCCGATGGTTCTACAAACCGAAACAATGCCAATGCTATTGTTGACTTTCCGGACCCAGTACGACCAACAAGCCCTATTTTTTCTTGTCCTTCCACATTGAATGAAATGTGATGTAATACTGGCTCTAGATCAGAAGCATATTTAACTTCCAAATTTTGTACCACAATTGCGCCACTATGTGGCCAGCAAGCAGGTGGTCTCGGTTCAATTATAGCTGGTGCTTCTTGAGGAATTTCAGAAAACTCGCTTATTCTTTCAACAGCATTTAAACTCATTTCAAGCAAAGTATATTTTCTAACAGTCCACATTATTTGTTGTGTGAACTGCATTGCAAATGACAAAGACAAACCAGCTAAACCAGCATCAATTTGATCAAGATTCCATAGAATGAAAATACCAGCTAAAAATGAAACAAATGAACTAGTAACATTGAAATAGACTGAAAGCCAGCGGTTTGTTAACCATACATAAAAGGATGGTCGACTGTTGTTATCTATTCTGTGATAGAAATGGCAACAAGATATTAATTGAATGTAAATAATGAGAAAAGTTTAATAAGTCAATATATAAACCTTAATAGCATATCTTGCATAAACCGTTTTGATGCACCGAAAGCTCTAATTGTTGTTATGCCACTACAAATGACTCCCAACATTATTAAACATATAAAGAAAAAAGTTCAAAGTTTAAAATTGATTCTAACACTTTACATTAAAGTTTCAGTGAAATGAGAATATAGCGGGGATCTTGACACAGAATCCATCCTCTTGAGTTCACGAGAAGCCTTTACATATAATGCACCAACTATTGTATAAATAACACCTGGTCAAAGTAAATTTTTTAAAAAAAAGTTAGAAAAGTTTGCACACTTTGTTATCTCAATATGTAGGATTAACAAAAATAATAATAATGACGAGTTTACCAAACAAGATTGCCGCAACGAGAAACTCTATTAATTACAGTCACAATTTTAGATTTAATGATCATTTGCTTAAAAGAATATTTTTGAAAAACTTCGTACCTTTTGTAATGACTGTTAAAACAACCATAGTACTCAGCATCATGATTGCCTAAAAATAATTATCCTAAGTAAACAATAAAATTATATATCTCTCTGGATATAACGACATTTTAAAATTTTGGGTTCGTATATAAGATATAGTTATGTTATGACTTGATTATTTGGATAATGATATACAATTTTAAATTTTTTTTTCTGTCACAGATAGATAGTGTCATTATAACCAGAGTTGTACTCACAAGTAAAAGTATAACAAACAATATATATTTACATTGATCAAAAACTGTGCAAGTTCGCCTAAAAACAAAAAATTATTTAGGAAGTTGCAGAAAAATAATTATGATCATAACGCTAAGATGAATTTACCTGCTAAACTGCTATCAATTGTTTCAAAATCCTTGCTGAACCTATTAAGAATTCTCCCAACTGGTGTCGTATCAAAGAATCTTAATGGGGCACGAATAACTCGATGAAGTAGTGTTTGATAAAGTTTTTTAGAAGCTCTCAAAGATCCATAATAAAGCCAAGCGAAACGCAAAACACCAGTGATAATAGATAAAAATGTAATTAACACATATATATTTAAATAATAATCAACATTATATGGCTTATGAATATAGCTGAATATTCCATCGACCATGACTAAATTATCTTGTTGAACTAAATTGAAAATTATTGGGAATGTCTCGTTGTTATTGCTGGCATTTGACCAAACTTTAAGCCACCAATTTTCCATTATCTGTACTCCTCTAGCACCAATAAATGTTACGGCAGCAATTAACCAATAAAGTATATTTCCATTTGCATAGAAATATGACTTGTAAATCTTAAACTTAACCATGCCAGTTGGTCGTGCTAATAATTAATTGTAATCAAAATTAATACCGATTTCCTAAGCCAAATCAATAAATAAATGATGAAACACACCTTCTTCTTCGATAAGAACTCTTGGTTTGGAGACTTTTTTTATTGGTTGTGAATCATCTACCTGAGCTGCATTTTCAACGAATGCATTTTCTGTGATCAATTCAACAGGATTCACTAATTCTGATTGACTATCATCATAGATTGAGGCCAATATTCCTGAATTGCGTAATTCTGAAATCGCACCAGATGTAACAATTTTTCCATTATCGACGGCGACCTATAAAAATAATATAGTTGTAATTAATAATATATAATGTAATTACAAAAATGTTTGCCGTAGGTTGATTATGTCATACCAAATAAGTGGCACCAGTCAAACCGAATCTGATGTGATGCGTTACAAGAATTCGAGTACGTCCCTTCATAATAGGACCTAGTAGACATTTGTTCATCAATTGCAATGCAGTATGTGCATCAACAGCACTGAAAATGTCATCTATATATAGATGTTTTGCTCGCGAATAGACAGCTCTATGAAATTTACAATTTAACATCAAAATTGAATAACTGATTAATAATAAATTATTTAAAATTAATAATAATTAAATTCACCTTGCTAAAGCGACACGCATCTTCTGACCACCACTTAGTGTAATTCCCTTTTCACCAATCTCTGTCATGTCTCCATCTTCAAGTATTTGAAAATCTTTTTCCAGTGCGCATACTTTTATAACTTGATTATAACGACTTTCATTGTAAGGAAGACCAAAAAGAACGTTATCACGAATAGAAGCATTCTGAAGCCATACTTGCTGTGCAACGTAAGCAGTACAATTCGGAAGAATCCAATTGTTTTCATTGATATTTTGATCAATAGGACTTGTTAAACTACGTGGACTATTGATGTTACCACTAATGATACAGGTTTCTGTTGATAAAGATATCAAAATATTGTTGTTCAAAATAAAATTTATAAATATATATATATATACGTATATCAAATTACTGAATTACCTCCAAGAAGTGACATTAATAATAATGTCTTTAATAAATGTGCATTACATAAATATATATTAATGTTTATAAAATATACATATTTGCAAGAGTGTTATACTCAACCTTCCCGGATCCAGTTGGCCCGCCTAAAACATATATAAACAAATTATTTATAATATTCATGAAAGAATGCTTTTAAACAATGTTAAACAATGATAAACTTACAAATGATACTTAATTCACCCACAGGAAATTCCAAATCCAAATCTTGCATAATAAACTCATCACTATTTTCCTTAATTTTATTCCATGAAATAGTTGCTTTTTCAAAAGAGATTGATGTTATAAATGGATAATTATTTTCATGTAGAATTTCAATTTCATCTTCATTTAAAAATTTTTCTATTCTATGTATGCTAATCAATGCTTGAAGTCCATCCATAAAAGTTTCAGGCAGAGCATTAAGGGCAAATCGAAGTTCATTGAAAATAACTAACGAAGTAAAAGCAATGGCTGCTGTAAGCTCATTTTTTTGAATTTTGGTGAAGAAGAAAAAACTGAGAATAGTGACTAAAATAGGTGTAGCCATCCATAATAGATCAAATAAGGACAAATAGATAAAGTTATTTCGAAGTTGTTTAAGCTCGATGTTGCGAGCCTCTAAAAAAAAATAATAATAATTTTTAACATGTATAATCTTTGTAGATCATGCAAAAAAAAAAAAAAAAGAATATGCACCTAATACTTTATTTTTCCAATTCTTTTCCCAGGCAAAGAATTTAATCATACGAATGCCTTGTAAAACCTTTAATTTGGAAATAGAATAATATAAGAAAACATATTGGTAATATATACATTATAGTATTACATTATAGCAGTATAGGGCTTACTTCATTCATTAGTTCTACTCTACGATCTCTAGCATTCATGAGCTTGTCTTGAGTTTTTGCATATTGCTTGGCCGTTTGATGATTAATTGGAAGTGTAATGATCATAACCGACAAACCGATTAAACAAGATACTCCCATTAATTGATATAAAAAATAAAGACCAATTATTAATTCTATCGGACTATCAAATGCATTAGTCCACCACATACAAAATTCACTAATACGATTTGTATCTATTGACATAAGGTTAGTAACTTTGCCAATAGATGAATTATCATCATCCAAATTATCCTCAGATTTATTAGATTCATCTTTCATAGTTGAAACATGAGAATTAATTCGTCTTAAACTTTTTGAATAAATTTCAGAATTAAGCATCTCCTTTACGCTAACCGTAAATACATTCGCAGCCCAATACCAATTTTGTGCAATAGTAAGACGTAGTATAATACTTGATACAAGCATTCCAAATATATATACATATCCAAGCTTCAGAGATTCATTTTCAGATCTCGTTTGAATAAACGATAGAAAACGGTATAAAAAAATTATTGGTGCATAATATAACACAGCAGCCAATATTGTGAATAAAAGTTGTAGGCTTATAACACGTTTATTAGCCATCAATATTCGATACAAGAGTTTACATCCTCTAGTTTTTTTGAAAGCATTATATAATGATTTAGCTTGATAAGCAAATGGAAGTAAATCAAGATCACCATCATTGAAAGTCTTTTGCGTATAAGCTTTGAAAATTAATTTAGAAGCAGGGAAGAAAGTAATAAAGTCCCATATTGAACAATACTCGATTGCACAAACAGCTCTCCCATTTTGAAGTATTGGTGGACCCATCGGAGTTGTGATAGCAATTGATGTAGCCACCAAAGAGAAAATAAAGTTGCATATTACAGTTAATTTTTCAATTATTTCATCCATTTGATAAGAATCGCTTAGGTTTATAATTGCTATAAGAGAACATAAAAAGGAGGTAAAAAAAAATGCGGTCAAATATATATTTAACGTCCATCTCCAACGTCTCGATTTCAATGACAAGGCAATAGCTGAAATTGTAAGTGCATAAAACTTTCGGATCGAAAGGTATCAAAAAGAATGCGTGATAAATAAAAGATGTCGGTCGGCAATAAGTGAATTATAAAAAATGATAATAGATTTACCCAACAAATTGCAAGAATTCCAGGACTTATCGTATCAAAATTTAAATTATTTCCGTGTTTAAATCTCAAAAAGAACAAAAAAGTAAACAATCCAGTCTGCAATATCGTAATTCCAAGTTTAACAACATCCCTTTGTACCGTTGAAAAGCGCGCATTATCAATTATATCATCGGAAACTTCTTCCGATGGTATTTCGAAATAATTTTTTCGATTTTGAATAGCTTGTAAAATTATAAATATACTACTGACTGCTGCGATAATTGCTGGAGGAAGGGTATCTGCTATGGACATTTTTTTTAGTACGTACTGTACGTACGTTTGTACGTAAATTTTTTGTGAAAACAGCAAAATTTAAATGGACTCTTGTGTAACCTTTTAGATTTAAAATTCATTATTATTAATCCTTGGCATGTTTACAATTAACATTTACAGTAACGGTAAGTAGTGATTTACTACATAGGAAAATACGCCGAATTATAAATCTGGAGCATACTATATTAGGGTCGATTACTAATAAAATTTTTTTGTGATACATAAACTTTTGGGATGTGTTCTATATATCAATTAAATATATATTAATAATAATAAGTATATCGGTGGGTGAAAAGTCTCTATACAGGTCCCTTTTCTTACTATCTCCGCTAAGATTTATAGTACTTTATTTTAAATACAATTTATATATAATATTGCAATGATTACTATTTTAGTGATTAAAAAAAAAAGGGACCTGTATAGAGACTTTTCACCTACCCGTTATAAAAAATCTATTTTTTACCTCGCCCTTAATTTCTCCCAGAATATTTAAGAATTTTGCTATTTATCGCCGGATGTGATATCACCGGGGATGCTACATCTCAATAACGTACGTACTAAATAAAGTCAGAATACCTGAGTAAAAATGTTCAGGACCCTGAAAACCCCGCAAGAACTGATCGGGACCTTATATCAAATCTACATTATGTAATTAAAATTCCTCCTTTAACCTAAAACCACACCCTAACCCTATACTATATAAATGGTGGTAAATGCTAAAATTATTTTTAAATTCTATAAACAAGATATTTAATGAAAGGTGTCTTTATATGAGTGCCACCAAGGGAAACCGCTTTCAATTATATTATACTGGACATTTAATTAGGGAGAATGTCCGACACCAAAATATAATTGAAAACCCGATGTCAGGTTTTGCCTTGGTAACACTCATTTAGTAAAAACGTTAGCGTTAGATTTTATCTTACTAATTGAAATAGATCACGACTTACCGGGAGTCTACTACGTAGTATGCGATTTAAAAATCTAATACAGGCCACACTGTAATCATTGACCTTTTTTTTTTATTTATTTAATGCTTTACTATGATTAGTTTATAAAATAATTGAACTATTTCATAAATCTGAAATAGTAAATTATAAAATAACTATATAGTATCAAAGGTGATTACAGATGGGAATCGTTTGTACAGAATCCGTCCGATAATCTAAGTCGAACAAATTTTGATGTAATTTTCAAATATCATATACTACGTAAAAGTTCTTCGGAAGATCAATTTTTGTTATAAATTTTATAATAAAAACTTTAAAGAGCTATATTACAAAATTTTATTAATACAACTGTTTTAGAGCTTTAAGACCTAATCTTATTCTAAATTGATTTGTGTAAAAAAAAATTCTGAAAATTTGTCGATTTCCCTCTTTTCTGTAGCACTCCGCCCATATTAAATATTACAGGAGAAATTAAAGTCGATTTTTTTATACTTAAGAGCGGTCAAATTAAACCTGTAAGTTTCGGACTTACTATAAATCACTTCAGTGACAAATAGTGTAGGTCAATTTTTTACAATAAATAGCTGCTCGATACGTAAGTATCGAGACAGCTTTTGTCTCGAATCTACTCACCCGATCAAGCATGTGACAGGCCCGGTTACGATCACATGTTCGATCGTTCGAAGCATGTAGTAATTGGCTATGCAATGTGTTATCAGTATGCAGCAATTAGTTTTGCAATCAGTGATGTGAATATCGAATATGGCTAAGGTAATTTAGTATCATCAGAATGTAATAATTGAGTAAGTATGAAGTAATTGGGTAAGTACGCGTGAGTAAGTATGAGGTAACTGGATCGTAGTATTTTAGTAAGTTGGGAAATCGATGGGAGTTAGTTTTGTCTTTTCTGCGAACCCGACTTTCGTTCTGGTTACATCGATCCCTCCCACCCCGTCCCCCAAAATGACGCAACAGTGTTTTGATTGGCATGCTGGGACAGCAGCCAAGAATTGTAGTCTGTCGGGACGACAGCCACATATGTAGGAATAGTTGACCTGCTGAGACGGCAGTCTAAATTGTGGTCTGTCGGGATGGCAGTCACATATATAGGAATAGCTTATCGTAACGACAATGTGATTGGTAGTCAAGTAAGGAAAGAAAATGAAAAAAAAAGAGAAGAGAAAAGAAGAAAGAAAAAAGGAAGAGGAAAAGAGAAGTTGATGCTCAGAAAAACTGCGTAGGTCACTCGATGGCAGAAAGGTCAATACCCGTCTATGTTCTTCATAATAATATACTCGTAAATGAGAGACAAAACAAAATCTGATCTTAAATTTTTGCTTACAGGTTTAATTTGCCGCACTCATTTAATAGAGAACGCAGATCCCAAAATTTTACTATAAAACTAGGCGCTTGAGTTGTTTAAGGGAGTTAGAATAGAGTATTCTATATCATATTGTAGTGAAATTCTCAAATTTTTATCAATTTCATATTATAAATTTATAGCAAAATCGGTAAATATTTGTATTAATGATAAGAAATTGTTTCGTGTTTATTTTGTAGTCTTTAAACATTATTTGTTATTTGTATTGTTATTTGTAGAGATTTTTATACACTTCAGGTTATGTATAAAATTTTATTATTTTAATCTTTTATATCACAATTAAGTAGCTAACTTATTGCCTTATTTTTTATTAATTCATTTCACTTCTATTTAACTATTCTACATTGTTACTCATTACTATGCATTCTATATTATGTTATTTATTTATCATTTTACTTATTACTGTATGATGCGGTGACTACCATATGTGATTGAGTTTCTTTTAGAATTATTGTGATTTTTAATATGAATATAAGTTTAAGTTGGTTTGCATTGGAATTGATATGATTTTATTGAGTTACTAAAAAAATTCTGTTACAAAGCTTATTTGCTATTTCAGTAACCACAATATGTGTTTAAGGTGAGTTAGTTTGTATCAGAATAACCCTAATACCTATTATAAGTTACTGTAAATAGTTTTATACAGAACTTGTTATTTTGTTGACTACTGTATGTAGTTAAAATTAGGTTAATTTACATTGGAATTATTATGTTTTTTTTTTTTTTTATTATGAATTACGGTAAAAAAATTCCACTACAGAGTTTACTCGCTATTCCAGTGACCATAATATATGTTTAAGTTAGAGTTTATTGTCTTGTAATAGTCATAATTTTACCAGTGACTGTGAATAATTTTGTTGCAAAACTTTCTATTCTGGTGACTACTATAATTGCTTAAGGTAGGTTAGTTTACAATGAGGTTAACATTTTTTCATAAGTTACTAAAAAAATTCCGTTACAGAACTTATTATATGGGTTATAAAATAAAATAGCTAGATTTTGCACGGGGTTACATGGCCTTCGGCTATGTTAACCCATGCATTGGTTGTTTTTTACAACCATACAATAACTATTCAGGAGTTACTAAAAAATCTATAAAAGCTTTAATCTAAAGTATACTAATGCAAAAAAAAATACTTGATAAAATTTTAAAAAAAGATATAACATTATTAATTAATTTATTAAAAAAAGCAAAAAAGATTAAAAGATATATTTAGTATTGAATTTGTAAAGCAAATTGCTATTCTACTATTAGTCTTTAAAAAAAATATACTAATAATCTTATTATATTTATTCAATTTTTTAAAGAAAATATCTAAATTTTTTATTAAAAATATATTTTAATAAATTTATATATTTTATTTTTATATTATAATTAATTTATTATAATTATTATTTTTTTAAAAAAAGTTTTATTATATAAAATAAAACTAAATCAAAAAAACAACTCTTTTTGATGATCCCTCACACCAAAAATCCCACTAATACCGACCTATGAATATTGTGTAGTTAGTATGTTTCTTCATAACAAAACTTTGCCAAATTGTATCTGGGTTCAAGAGTTTCAGATTGCATGTAAGCACTATGAAATAGAGTTGAAAAAGACAGCTTCTTGTGGGTTTGGCTCTCCAGTAGAAGTCTATGGAGCTATCGAACAAG